GCTAACAAAAGGTGGCAGTTCAAAACCACCAGCAGCTGTGCGAGAGAACGATGTGGCAGTCTGCTTCTGCAAAGATTTACAGTCTTGGAAACTCTATGGGGTTGCTATGAGTCAGAATCGACTCGACGGCAGTGGGTAAATAATTTTACTTGGAAAAATGGAGTCATTTAAAGTGGAGTAAGAATAGTTTGGTTCAACACAATGACAGTCTATGTTAGTGTCATCCTGGTCAGCATGATGTAAATGGGGTCAGTCCAGCTCTGAAAATATTTACTTAATAATGCAGTAATGTCTCACATCTCCATGGGTCAGGCTTCTTGCAGTATCAATACTCAGGACACAGCTAAGGACCCAATAGTAAACCAAAAACTCTCCAAGCAGCAGAAAAATAAACTAAACTGTTAAAAAGCCCATGCACCAAGTTCCATTAGCCCTTGGTTTTTACAAATTAGTAACCTGGATTCTCTAATCACAAAATCTAAAACAGCAAATCAGGGGAAGAGGCAGATTAGAAGGAGCAAGGCAAGGTGAGTATGTCCGTAACAATGAGAACCGACAGCAATAAAAGACGAGTAAGAACTAAAAAAACAGAAAGGAGACTTATGTCTAATAACATAGAATCGCAACTTTAATTTATATAATACAAGTAGCACTGGTATAAGAATTATAGTTCTAAGACTATACACCGAAGTGAGGGACCTTAGGGAACTTAGTTATTCTGTGCCTCATTTCCTTGATCTGTACAATGATCATACAATATAATATGTCCTTCATCACACTATGTGATAAGCCTTTATTATTTTTAAAAGTGACATTTTAACATTTTTTTTACTGATCATTAAAGAAATATACAATAGAGAATTTGGAAAACATTAAAAAAGTAAAGAAAATTAAGATTGCCTATAACCTTACTACCAAAAGATAACCACTGCTTATATTTTGGTGATTTTCTTTCAGGTGTCTTCATATATAAATACGTACATATACCGGTTTTTGTAATTTTTTTAACGTGGCATTATTTGTGGGCATTTTCCCAAGTCAAAAAGTCTTTGTGTACATTATTTTAATGACTACATATACCATAATTTATTTCCTATCATGGCATATTTTTTGTTGTTGTCGTTAGGTGCTGTTGAGTCGTTTTAGACTCATAGCAACCCCATGTGACAGAGTAGAACTGCCCCATAGGGTTTTCTTGGCTGTAATCTTTAAGGAAGCAGACCACCAGGTCTTTTCCCTACGAAGCCGCTGGGTGAGTATGAACTGCCAACCTTTTGGTTAGCAGTCAAGTGCTTAATCGTTTGTGCCACCAGGGCTGTATCTATGACAAGGTTAAAAGAAATGATCTTTATAAGGTCTAGATACAGATATTTTTCAATGGAACATTAAGATTGGAACTGCTTACTAGTCAGTCACCAAGAGAAAGACTAAGAATTTGAGGTTTATAGAACTAGATCATCCAACAAAGTACAATCCTTAAGTCCAATGAACAAACAAGATATTTGAAGAACCAAGTATCTAATAAGTTTTGGGAAACGATCATTTTAAGTGGTTTCTAAAACCAGGAAGAAGAGATTTCCGATTAAGAGAAATCTGGAATACTGTCATTAAATTACAAGCATGGTAGGAAAGCAGCACTACAACCACGCTAGGAAAGTAGAAATGTAATGACAACACATGAGCCTTTCTGCTCATTCATTCGTGAAGCACATATTTATTGAGTTGTTGGTGTTATTGTTGTTAGCTACTGTGGACTCAGCCCCCGACTCATGACAACCCCATGTGCTACACAGCAGAACTGTTCCGTAGGATTTTCTTGGGTATGATCTTTATGGAAGCAGTTTGCCAAGCCGTTCTTCCGTGGAGCCACTGGGTGGGTTTGAACAGCCAACTATAATGTTAGCACCTGACTGCAAACTGTTTGCGCCACCTAGGCTCCTCGGACAGGCATTGTGCTAGGCTACATTACTATCAATAGTATAAGAGTTTTCTTTGTAAAAAATTCTTAAAGATGAGATAGCGGCAGTTAACACATTCTAACAAATGAAAAAAATAACCGAAAATCCTAATGTACCTTCTCTGTCATTGTGCCTATTACCGAAGGTCTGTCTCTCCCGCTAAACTGTAAGTCTCTTAAGAGCAAGGATTGTGTCACCACCTCTATATTTACATCCCTTGGTATAAGATAGGAGTTCAACATTTGCTGAATTATTTTTCATTTATAATAGTCTTTCGGTTCTAATCTACAAACACACATTATTATACAATTGAAATAATAATGTATACACTATTTTTGATTTCACTCTATTTTCCATGTTCCTATCAGCCTTCATAATTTTAACGCTGCAAACTATTCCATTGCATTTATAAATAACTTAGAAAAGATTCTCCTAATGTTGTCTTTGAAGGTTGCTTCCAGTATTTTTATATTGTATAGCTAATGTTGCAAACACATCTTGCCTTACAAGTCTCACAGATATACTTCTCAATAGAAATATTGGGCTCAACTCTAAAGGATAATCTTGTACGGTAAAAGTTTAAGTTGAAAGAAAAAGATTTTTACTCTAATAGATACAATTTTCAAAGACAAAAAAACAACACACACATACAGAAACTAGAATTCTATTTTGCCAAATCAACTACATACGGCCAGTAATTTAAATAAGTCCTCTAACTATTTTGGGAAACCTCGGTAGCACAGTGGTTGCTACGGCTGCTAACCAAAAGGTCAGCAGTTCAAATCCACCAGGCACTCCTTGGAAACCCTATGGGGCAGTTCTACTCTGTCCTATAGGGTCACTATAAGTCAGAATTGACTAGGCGGCAACGGGTTTTTTTTTTTTTTTAACTATTTTCAGATGTTTTTGTCCAAAGTAAACTGTTTTGTAGGACTGCTTCACATATATTAGAAAAGATACTTTTGGGGACAGACAGTAAAAATTCTGAGGTAAAAGACAAATAAGTGTTGATAATTAAGTCTAAATAGAACTTCAGTGCTTTCGGAAGGGGGCACACACTTAAGCCCCACTTCCTTGGCTACATAGATAGAGTTTGCTTAGACCCTTAGGTTGCTTACAAATGTAATCAACTTTGGGCTTCTGAAGATGACCTGATTGCTCTTTCCCTCCATTTATAGATTCTAAGTAATAACCTACCTGGATACATGTAAGAACTTAAACCTTGACCTTAACTATAAAAACCAAACCCACTGCCGCAGAGTCAATTCAACTCAGTGACCCCACAGGACAGAATAGAACTGTCCCATAGGGTTTCTAAGCTGTAAACTTTTAAAAACATTTTATTGTGCTTTAGGTGAAATTCTACATAGTAAACTAGTTTCCCATTCAATAATCCATACATAAATTGTTCCGTGACTTTGGTTGCAATCCCCGCAATGTGTCAGCACTCTCCCCATTTCCACTCTGGATTCCCATTTCCATTCGTCCGGTTTCCCTGCTCTTTCCTACCTTCTCTTCTTTGCTTTTGGGCAAATGTTGCCCTTTTCGTCTGGTGTAGTTGATTGTTCTAAGGAGCACATTCCTCACGGGTGTTATTGTTTATTTTATAGGCCTATTATTTGGCTGAAAGGTGATCTCCGGGATCACACCAAGCTGTAAGTCTTCACAGATGCCAACTGACTGCCACATCTTTCTCCTACAGAGGGGCCGGTGGGTTCAAACCGCGACTTTTTGGTTAGCAGCTGAGTGCTTTAACCACTGCACCACCAGGGCTCCTTAAGCCTTGACCTTAGAGTGAATTTGTGAAAAAGTCAACTATATTTTAGTAACATGAAGTTAGTTTACATACTTATTTATTAACAAATTTGTCTTGAGTATCTACTAATGAATTTCTGCAGTATTGTTTTTTCATTGATTACCAAAATCACTGACCCGGTTTCCTCTGTCAGTATGTTTGTTTGGAGGAGAAGAAGAGGAAGAAAGAAAAAACAGCCAACTATGTTGTAATTTAATTGTGGTTCAATCATGATTGTTAACAATTACCTCTAATAAGACAGTTAAAATATAATCTATAAAAGGTAATTCCATTGTAGGGAGAAGAGGACCTTTGAGGCCAAAAGATATGCTCAAACGTGATTTTTTAAAGAAAAATGCTATTTAATTTCTATTTTGTCTATGTCAATTTTTTCATGAAGCCCAATGAGTGGATATATTTATAATTTTGTACTGCATTGTTTACAGGCTTTTTCATACACACACACACAATCAGGACTCATCCAGATACAGATAAGTACAACAAACCGCTAAAAACATTTCAAGTATTTAAAGCAGAAATTCCATAGGTGTTGCTTAGAATACGGAATCTTTCTCTCCATTCCCCTCACCAAGGCCCAGAAGTTCCATTGACACACTGCATTAACATTCCACACAATACAAAAGCGCATGCCATGACAAAGACCTCCAAACACAAACATACAAAGCACGCTTCTAAAAACGCCCCTAAAGCGAAGTTCACAGCTGGCACTTGTAGCACCCTCAAGCCACTGCTGTGGCAGCTGTTACAGGCCAATCACACACACCCAAGAGTGCCAGCGTGCCACCTAAAGAAGCCTAGCTGATGATGAGCGCACAAATCCCCCACCGAATAAAGAAAAGCCCCAAATCCCCACCCAGAAAAGCACAATGCCTGCACTACCCAGAAAACACCCTAAAAGAGTGAAAAGTTGGAGATTTAGAGGCGATAAATACTAGCTAATAGCAATACAGTAAAACAGGAGTTTCATTTGCGCACTCAAGAGAAAGAGCCACACGATCCAATCATCACGGAAGTATAATTTGCTAGGTGGTAGCATAGGGCTTTTTCCTCTATTGGAAAAAGGGGAAAGGGTGGCTAGGGGAAAATAAAGACCTTGCGGCACCTTTCTCCCAGTCAGCGAGTGCACTGTGGCTGCTGCGATCTCCACTTCCCAGGCTCCCCTCCACCATCCCTTCCCAGCCGCCGCCTCCTCCCACCGCAGGCCCGGCTGCGCCCGGCTTTCCTACCTTCGCTTTGCCGGCCTCCAGCTTCTTCTGTCTCTCCTCGTCCTCCATGGCCTCTGCGGAGAAGGGTGGGGGGAGACAGAAGGGGGTCGAGGGTAGAAAGGAAAGGTCGACTCAGACGGAGGTGGGACGGCAAGCTCCGGGGCCCAAGCAGAAGGGCCGGGCCTGGCGCTCCCCCTCCCGGAGTCGAACAAGTCTTCGCGCTCACTGGTGGATGGTCCTCGATCGCACAGATAGCGCCGTCACCGTCGCCGCCATCTTCGTCTCCACGTAAACACGCGGCCCGGCGGGGGTGGGGGGTGGCACGTCAGTCCGCGCAGCCGCCGGGAGCCCCGCCGCGCCAGGCAGGTGTGCCTTCGGCCCTGCCGCTCGCGACGGCGTGGGGGCGACCCTGGCCCGGCCACCCCTGCCTCCTACCGGCGACGAGCCGGCGGGAGACAGCGCCCCTTCGACCCTGGACCTTCCTCGCCCTCACTGGGAATGAACGGCTCCCAGGTTGCTGCTGGGCTAGAGTGTGCGAGGGGACGGGATCTAACGGGGTGCCTGGCCTGGCCCCCACCCGCCGTACTGCGGACTCAGTGGTCGCTTTTAAAACATTGAGTTTTTTTCAAATTTTAAAAATTGTAGATGCCTAGTGGTGAAATTGAAGAACACGGAAAAGCCTCAAAGGAAAAGTGGTAGTAGCGGTGATGGTGAGGAGCCCACCGGATATCTGGTTTTCAACCTAATTGATTCCTAGACTCAAGGAGTTGGGAGAGTAGCTACTTGCTCTGGTTACTTCCTTAGCCTGAAAGTCCCTCCGTCTTCCTCACACTGGTACTGGCCAAATCTCGGGTTCATCCCTAAAGGTCCACCTACGTACCGCCTCCAAATAACTTACCTCTTTATTCCTTCCACCGCAACTGGGACGTATCCAGTCATAACTTACTCCCTTCCCACTCCCTCTTTGGAGCTTCCCCTTAGCAATGGTATTCTGAAAGGAGAATGAGCTTCGGGACTTGGGGTGGGGACAAAGCCAGTCTACACTAATTTTCTAGCTTTAATGACCTTGAACAAGTTTCCTACTTCCCGAGTTCTTGTTTGCTTACGTGGAATTTTTTGGAAGGTTTGTTAGGATTCAATGAGATAACATATGTGAGTGCCCCTGGCGCATTAAAACAATTAATGTCAGTTTTCTTTCTTGTATTTCTTTTAAGTACTGAGTGATATTTTAATAATTTGTGTATGGCTTAGTTCAACTCATACTCTTGGTTCCCTGATGCCAGAGACTGTTGCTTATCTTTGCATTACCAAAATGACTAGTACAGTGCTTTGTACCCAATAAACACTTGTTGAATTAAGCCGTGTTTGTAAATTGAACATTAGTCTTTTTACTTTTTTCCCCCTCCACTGCTCCCTCAGTATTTCCTTTTTTCTTTCCCCTCTGCTACCCCCAAATGCATTTCTGGAGTGAACCACACACTTTAATGTCTTAGTCTTAACAAACGCAGATCACCAGGCCTTTGCGTCACCAGGGCTCCTTGAAACTAGCTTAGCCTCCCTTGCACCACCTAGGGACCTTAAGATATTAATACTTTTACTTTGATTACTTGTTGAAATGATAATATTTTGGGTATATTGGATTAATTTTTTACCTATTTTACTTTTTTAAAATGTGTTTACTAACAAGAAAATTTTACATTACATATGTGGCTCTCATTATGGCTCACGTTTTTCTGTTGGACAGTGCTCCTTTATTGGACAGTTTAAATAGAGAAGTGATACAACGGCTGAGTCTTGGAAGGAAGGAGGGAAGGTAAGAGGAATCAGTAAATGAGACTAAATGAATCAGTAAATGAACAGAAGCTAGCTACATAAAAGGAAAAGCAGCTACATACTAGGAAAATCTTTCTCATTTTCAAAGTCATTATTGTGGAACCAAAATACCAGAATTTTGCTAATTACATCCTTCAATTTTTCCAAGTTTTGTTTAATACCACTGAGGATCCAGTTATAGATCTATGCTAATCAAATTGTTATCTGATTATAACCTGGACTAAAATTATTCAGAGAAAATTTTCATGTGTGATTCTTCTGCTAAATCGGATAGAGTAATTTTCTAAATTGTTTCACCATTTTTTCCATTTTTATGGCTCTACTTCCCTTTAGAAGACATTGGCAGCTACTACGTCCATGGAACATTTGCCACCATCACTTGCCAGGCAATCTGCCCAAAACTATGCTCAAGATCCCCTCCAAGGGGCACAACTTCCAAACTTCTCTGTTTTAGCTAATGACCTTCTTCCAGTCTGCTAAACTTGAAATCTTGGAGTTCACTTTGATTACTCTGTACCTCACCCTTCATATTCTGTCAGGCATCATGTCCAGTTGTGATTTCTTTTCCAGAGTCTCTTGATTTCTTCACAGCTTTTCCTTTCTGACTGCTACCATGGTAGACCAGACCCTTGTTATCTCATATTTAGAAAAGTTCAAAAGACTCCAAGCTGGTATGTCTGTTTCGTTCCTACCCACTACACTACCGTACTCATAACTCTGTCAGATTAGTTTTCTAAGACACAGCTTCCACAAAGTCATTCCATTGTAAAATGCCTTCCTACTGCCCATACACGCATCTGTCAGTTTGTCATACTGTGGGGGCTTACATGTTGCTGTGATGCTGGAAGCTATGCCACCGGTATTCAAATAACAAGCAGGGTCACCCATAGTGGACAGGTTTCAGCTGAGCTTCCAGGCTAAGACAGACTAGGAAGAAGTACCCAGCGGTCTACTTCTGCAAAGAACTAGCCAGTGAAAACGTTACGAATAGCAGTGGAACATTGTCTGATATAGTACTGGAAGATGAGCCTCCCAAGTTGGAAGGCACTCAAAATATGACTAGAGAAGAGCTGCCTCCTCAAACTAGAGTCGACCTTAATGATGTGGATTGAGTCAAGCTTTCGAGACCTTCAGTTGCTGATGTAGCATGGCTCCAAATGAGAAGCAGCAGCTGCAAACATCCACTAATAATCGGAATGTGGAATGTACAAAGTATGAATCTAGGAAAATTGGAAATTGTCAAAAATGAAATGGAATGCATAAACATCGATATCCTAGGCATTAGTGAGCTGAAATGGAGTGGTATTGGCCATTTTGAATCGGACAATCATATGGTCCACTATGCCAGGAATGACAACTTGAAGAGGAACGGCATTGCATTGATCATCGAAAAGAACATTTCAAGATCTATCCTGAAGTACAATGCTGTCAGTGATAGGATATTATCCATACTTTGTCAAGGAAGACCAGTTAATGAGACTATTATTCAGATTTACACACCAACCACTAGGACCAAAGATGAAGAAATTGAAGATTTTTACCAACTTCTGCAGTCTAAAATTGATCAAACAGGCAATCAGGATGCATTGATATTTACTGGTGGTTGGAATGTGAAAGTTGGAAACAAGGAAGGATCAGTAGTTGGAAAATATGGCCTTGGTGATAGAAACAATGCTGGAGATTGCATGATAGAATTTTGTAAGACCAACGACTTCTTCACTGCAGATACCTTTTTTCACCAACATAAATGGTGACTATACACGTGGACCTCGCCAGATGGAATACACGGGAATAAAATCTACGACTGCTGTGGAAAGAGATAATGGAAAAGCTCAACATCATCAGAACAAGGCCGGGGTCGACTGCGGAACAGACCATCAACTGCTCATATGCAAGTTCAAGTTGAAACTGAAGAAAATTAGAACAAGTCCATGAGAGCCAAAATAAGACCTTGAGTATATCCCACCTGAATTTAGAAATAATCTTAGGAATAGATTTGACATGTTGAATACTAATGACCGAAGAACAGACAAATTGTGGAGTGACATCAAAGACATCATACATGAAGAAAGCAAGAGGTCATTAGAAAGACAGGAAAGAAAGAAAAGAGCAAAATGGATGTCAGAAGAGACTCTGAAACTTGCTCTTGCATGTAGAGTAGCTAAAGCAAAAGGAAGAAATGATGAAGGAAAAGAGCTGAATAGAAAATTTCAAAGGGCAGCTCGAGAAGACAAAGTATTATAATGACATGTGCGAGAGCTGGAGATAGAAAACCAAAAAGGAAGAACACGTTCAGCATTTCCTAAGCTGAAACAACTGAAGAAAAAAATTCCAGCCTTGAGTTGCAATAGTGAAGGATTCTACAGGGAAAATATTAAACTGACCCAGGAAGCATCAAAAGAAGATGGAAGGAATACACAGAGTCACTATACCAAAAAGAATTGGTCGATGTTCAGCCATTTCAAGAGGTAGCATATGATCAGGAACTGATGGTAATGAAGGAAGAAGTCCAAGCTGCACTGAAGGCATTGGTGAAAAACAAGGCTCCAGGAATTGATGGAATATCAATTGAGATGTTTCAACAAACGGATGCAGCACTGGAAGTGCTCACTCGTCTATAACAAGAAATCTGGAAGACACCTACCTGACCAACCGACTGGAAGAGATCCACATTTATGCCTATTCCCAAGAAAGGTGATCCAACCAAACACAGAAATTATCAAACGATATCATTAATATCACACATAAGTAAAATTTTGCTAAAGATCATTCAAAAGCGGCTGCAGCAGTATATTGACAGGAAACTGCCAGAAGTTTAAGCTGGATTCAGAAGAGGATGTGGAACGAGGGATATCATTGCTGATGTCAGATGGATCCTGGTTGAAAGCAGAGAATACCAGAAGGATGTTTACCTGTTTTTTAGTGACTATGCAAAGGCATTTGACTGTGTGGATCATAACAAATTATGGATAACATTGCGAAGAATGGGAATTCCAGAACAATTAATTGTGCTCATGTGGAACCTGTACATAGATGAAGAGGCAGTTCATCTAACAGAATGGGAATACTGCGTGGTTTAAAGTCAGGAAAGGTGTGTGTCAGGGTTGTATCCTTTCACCATACCTATTCAATCTGTATGCTGGGCAAATAATTCAAGAAGATGGACTTTATGAAGAAAAACGGGGCATCAAGATTAGAAGAAAACTCATTAACAACCTTGGTTATGCCGATGACACAACCTTGCTTGCTGAAAGTGAAGAGGACTTGAAGCACTTACTGTGAAGATCAAAGAACACAGTCTTCAGTATGGATTATACCTCAACATAAAGAAACCAAAAATCCTCACAACTGGACCAGTAAGCAACATCATGATAAACGGAGAAAAGATCGAAGTTGTCAAGGATTTCATTTTACTTCGACCCAC